TATGGTTTTCCTGACTGAAGTTGAAAAATCCAGTTTTGTTGGTAACCCTACTCTCACTCTTAATTGATCTGATCTTACAACAGCCATTATTATTATTATTATTATTATTATTATTATTACTAGTAGTAGTCATCGTCGTCGTAGTAAAGGTAAAGGTACCCCTGACCATTAGGTCCAGTCACAGATGACTCTGGGGTTGCGGCGCTCATCTCGCTTTATTGGCCGAGGGAGCCGGCGTACAGCTTCCGGGTCATGTGGCCAGCATGACTAAGCCGCTTCTGTCGAACCAGAGCAGCGCACGGAAACGCCGTTTACCTTCCCGCCAGAGTGGTACCTATTTATCTACTTGCACTTTGACGTGCTTTCGAACTACTAAGATGGCAGGAGCAGGGACCGAGCAATTGGAGCTCACCCCGTTGCGTGGATTTGAACTGCTGACCTTCCGATTGGCAAGCCCAAGAGATTCAGTGGTTTATACCACAGAGCCACCCGATCCTCTTGTGTACATATTTGTGTACATATTAATTGTCAGGAGACAAAATTCAGAAAGAGCAAATTTCAAAGGATGGTGGTGTTTCAGTTTATATATTGTTTTGGAAAGTGCATATTATGTGATTTATCATTTAAATGTGAACTGAATCAATTTTCTCTCCATCCCTATTTTAGGTGACATATCTGGCCTGTGGCAACTTCATTATGAAAATACTTTTCTCTGTTTCCCATCTTCTTTCTATAGCAAGTTCTTTCTTATTCCCCCTCCCCTTTGGTATGTGATTGTGTTGAGATTCGTCTGTGACCATTTTTCTTTTGTTGTTATGAGCTCCAAACCGCCCCCACCCCCCGATCTCAGGTAGATTCATCCCATCTTATAAAAGCAAGCAGCTAACCCAACCATCGAAATGGATCTTTCATTTTCTTGGCCTTCAGTATGATAAAAGCTAGTTTCTCCTTTGATCTCAATTTAAGCTCCTAGAATTTTCTTTTGAAACACTTGTACCAAATGTAGGAAATGGCACAGCTAAAAGAATAAACCTGCAGGAGGGCCTTTTAACAAAAACTCTGAAGCATTATTCCTGAGCACAAGAGGGTTTCTGACATCTCTAATATTACATGGGCATGCGATTAATCAGTCCTGTGACAGATTTGCAATACATACACACAGCTGGATGTGTGTAAAGACAGTTATTCTTTGTACAGGCTTTAATGTGCCATGTTCTTTCAGACAGGTATTGGCATATTTGCCGTAAAAATCTTGTCCATAAAAAGCTTTCATTTCTATTCAGAAGCATCTGATTGCTGCCACATAAAGCCCTCGACTATTCGCTGTAAAATCTTTAATATTTAAAAAATAAAATTAAGCACCCAAGAACACAGCCCTGAAAAGTCTTCCAGCTTGGCAAAGCAGTGGTCCTCATTTTCCACCATAATAGAGTGAGGAGACAGGAAGCAGTCAAAGCCCACAAAGATCTACATAGTACAGGATTCCATTTAGGGTTCCATATGTTAGTTGAGGCCTTGATGGGAATAGCATCTTAAAGAAGAACTTGATCTGCCAGATCAATATGGCCCTATTTATTTTACATAATATGATGTTGCCAATTATCTTCAAATAGTTTATAACCTTAGCTTCATTTATAATTTATTTTTTAAAACTTGGATGTCCCGGAAATATTTTAAGTAGGAATGGACTGGGGTGGCATATTTTCAAAATATAAAAACTCCATTTTTAATGGAATACAGCATTATAATTTATGACATTCCCTTAATCCAGATGAGACAGAAGTGTTCTTAGCTAGGAAGACCAAGTAGATTCAGCCTCTCTTGGATGGGGCAGCACTGCCCTTGAAAATCAGGTTAACAACAGTACTGCACCAATTGCAAGGAAAGATGGACTTGGCTGTGGTTACACATTGCCTTGGTTACATCACATGCCTTGTAGGTAGATTGCAGACCAGGACCAGATTTTAGGATCATGTAACTCGAATAACAATTGCACTGGTTGCTGGGGTTTACTTTTAGAGCTCTACATGCCCTTGGGATCAGGATGGCTACAGGACTGCCTCCTCCTATTTGATCCTAAATTTGTCCACTAAGGTCATCAGGAGAGTCTGAGATGCACTTAGCACAAGCACTTTTAAGGGCTGTCTTCATTGTAGTGTCTACTCTCAGGAGAGCTGTTTTGACCATCTATGATGTAAACACAATAAGCCCTTTTTGGTTGGTTTCTTTTTTAAGCTTTTTTCTTCAGTCTTGGCTAACTTTCTTTGGCTGGTTCATCCACTTTTTGCTACAGATCTTGTGGTTTCCTGTATTTTTATCTGATGCTTATTTCTTGTGTTTTTGTGTTGTAGTATTAGCAGTTTTGAATATAAATATAGTTGATATAATTTGAATTAAAATAATAATAATAATTGCATGTTAGATGCAAAAACATAGTTTGGGAGTAAGTGGTGGGTGGCGCTGTGGTCTAAACCACAGAGCCTAGGGCTTGCCGATTGGGAGTTCGGTGGTTCGAATCTCCACAATGGGGTGAGCTCCCGTTGCTCAGTCCCTGCTCCTGACAACCTAGCAGTTCGAAAGCATGTCAAAGTGCAAGTAGATAAATAGGTACCGCTTTATAGCAGGAAGGTAAACGGCGTTTCCATGCACTGCTCTGGTTCGCCAGAAGCAGCTTAGTCATGCTGGCCACATGACCCGGAAGCTGTACACCGGCCAATAAAGCGAAATGAGCGCCACAACCCCAGAGTCATCTGCGACTGGACCTAACGGTCAGGAGTCCCTTTACCTTTACCTAATTTCTTAAAAGAGTTGACCTCCTTTTGACTAAAAGCAAAAACCTTTCTTCTCTTTCAACAGACTTTTCTTTTTGCTTATGATCATAAATGATAGTAAATGACAAGCACATTGGTGTAATGATGCACATGACCTTTACTGTTTGGCTATGGATCATTTTACACAAAAAAACATGTCTACTCCAAATGCAGAATCACAGGGGGAGAATCACCTTTTCTGACATGATGGGTTTTTTTGTCCATGGAAGTGCTTATGAAAGTATTCTCATGGAAGCATACATGTGGAAAAGGTTATATCCGAACTGACCGTCTGCATAGCTATTTCAGAAAGGATTCTAAAGCAGAGGCTAGCAGCAATTTGATATTCTACACCTTTTGTGAGAAATGCAAATGGAGGACCAATCATAGTGCTACAGTTTCTGTGCAAATGTCTCTTACGTTAACTGGGTAAAAGAAAATGCACTTCGCAATGGCAGGAGGCAGAACTAGGTGACCATGAGATCCCTTCCAACACTATCCTTCTCGGCAGATAGTACTGCTTACCAGTAGGGTGCTTGTGACCCAGAATGGTAGCTTCAGTTGCATGGACTTCATTCCAGTAAATGGACAAAACTGGGACATGGGTCTGTCACTGACAGCCACCCACCTCCCAGGAAGTGATGAAACAGAAGCTAACCATAAGATTTGACACCACATCTTTAACACCTTGAAAGTAGGGATCCAATGGTGGTCCTATAATATTATGGTATGCTATCATCTGATAAACACTGTGATTCCAACATAACATATTGAAACTGATGACAATGGGGAAACAAGTGCCCAAATGTAACTCTCTAAAGAAAAGTGTTTACGGTGGCCGTCATCCAAAATTAAATCAAAATATTATTAGACGTCTATTTCCCTGGTGGGGTATATTTAGAAAGGATGGTTGAGAACATGCTTCGTTGAACGCATCAACTGTGCACTGATTTATTTATTTTTAGAGTCGGAATGCATAAATGAATGCAATTGTTATTTTTTAAGCAAACAAACGCAAATATGGTAAAAAGCTCATATCTCACCATGTGCCTTTAATCCTATACCAAATGTTATCTGGCACAACCTAGCATACATCAATAGCTAAGTGCAGCTGATGGGTTTTTTTTCAGAGACTTCATCGTGGTAAGATATACTAGCATTATTTGAGCAAAATCTCTGGCACACATGCTCATTGGTCCAAAGTTAAACAGTTTCCATAAGTTCTTGAAGCACTACAAGGGAGCTACTGGAAAAGGGGACTGTAAACTGTGGGTAATGATGCCTCTATCATATTGCCCTGGCCTCAGAAAAGCTATCTTCTGTATACAGCTAAGCAAATCTAATTTTGCAGTGGTTAGCACCTAATAGTCTACCATCTTGAACAGCCATATCTATGTCTGCAGAACAAACTTAAACTAATTTGCTTTGTTATTTTTTTGTTTTTGTTTTTTAATTGTGCGGCATAGTTAAGGCATTCATTGATCATAAGGCAGAAGTAGCGATGCAAGCCAGTGATAAACATAATTATCTTGGAGGACTGCTGCATTAAACTAAATCGGGTATCCTGTGCCAAACACCACTGAAATCTTTTAAGTTATGCCGAAAGAGAGATCAGTTTAGATTGTAAATAATTCAGCCCTCGTTATGATCTCACAAATTTGCTATCCCACCCCTCCATGTTTATGATTGACAATATTTTTAAAATATTAGAATATATATTTTATAGATTTTTTTAACGTTAGCAATGAGAATCCTGTGTTATAACAACTCATGCGAAAAAAAACAATTACATGAAAAGGGTTCGCCCCCTCCATTTATTGTTATTCTCATTAGAGAGATGAAGGCGTTTCAATTGTCAAACACAGTCCCTGCAATAAATACCATTTGTGTCACCAAAATGGATTTATATGTCATTGGCTTCCACCACCAGCAGCCCCCCTTTTTTTTCTTAAATACTATATCAGAGCTAGGGAATCTGTGGCCCACCTGTTAATACTGACCTACAACTTTCATCATCGTGATAGTTGGGGCTTATGGAAGTCAAAGTCAAATATAATCCAAAAGGCTACAGATTTCCCACCCCTGTGCCATATGGACTATTCTGCCTGACTCATTTTGGTTTGTAGAGCAAATCCCCACTTTTTTAGAGGCAAATTTAAACACAGATTCGTTTCGAGTCTAAAATGGTACCTGAAAAATTCCATGAAAGAGAAGCCATAGCCATGTTGCTCTGCGATTCCTGCACAAACAACATTTGCAGATGCTCCGATCAATGTCCCATTACCTGTAATTCAAAACAAAAACAAATTCGAGCTGATATCGAGGCTCTTTATCTTTTGGCTTTGCCACTCAATTAGATCAGCTAGCAGACTTAGATGCAAAGGAGGGGGAAATCAATCATTTCACATGCACCTGAAAGGATATCACCTGAACAATAACCTCCCTGTCTATAAATAGCTGAAGGTTTTCAGAGGCAGACCTGTCTTTGTCCTCAGTGAAGGCGGAGGGAGAGAGAGTGTGAGAGAGCTGTGTTGCCAAAACGACATCTTCTGCAAATATTCTGAGAAACTTGCTGATTATTTGTTTCAAACACAAAAATGTATGAGTAAGATAAAATGAAAGTGAGATTAGGAAGCAGGGTGGGGAGGGATACAGATCTCTGCTGATAGCAAGTTGGGCTATTGATTGGAGAAATAATGAAAAATGAGGGGTTGTTCCTCCCCTCCCCCCCCCCAAAAAAATGCATGCAAGAACAATAGAATGAAGTGCTTATTTTCAAAATGTGTCCTTTACACTGGAGCACAATTAGTTGCCTAAAATGACAAGAGTTCTTAGGCCCAATGCAGAGAACTAGGGGTCCAAGCCTTTCTGGTCTACCCCCAACACACACAGCCTTGCTGCACGTGCAGATGTACTTTGTGCTAGACAGCATTGTGCAGTATGACCCTGAGTCCCCTCTAACTGCAACTGAATTGTTTTAACTCTGTTGTAATTTTGCTTCCTTGACTTTCCGCGTGAAAATCTGTATTGGCTGCTGATGTGAGTTGTAGATCTAAGTGTCTGGTGTTTCTTTGTCTACTTGAAGAAGAATAAGGTTGCAGCAGCACAAGCTTTCTCCCCGTCTTAGTTTCTTTTTTTCTTCTTTCATTTTCTTTTTTATTAAATCCGATTTAATACAATGTCCACGGGGGGGGGCACAGCATTAAGAGTCTAATGTCATTTTACATAATCTTAGGGCATTAATGGTCAACCTAGGCTCTCCATAGACATGTTTGCGAAACTAGTGGAAGAAATTTTCTATGGTGTCTCTCTTTATAACAACTTTTGCTACCCAGCTAGTCACTCTGAAATAGCCCTGTCCCAGATATTGTTTTTTTAAAAAACACCATATTTTTAATTAAAGATGTATTTAAAAGTATATGCAATGTCTTTTTTTTTCCAAGTTACATTTTCCACAGATCAGTTTCATTTGTTGAGACATTAGTGTTACCTTAGGAAGAAAAGGGGGAAAGAGGTGGAGGGGGCATGTGAGTGGGGTTGGGGTTGGGTGGCAATGCTTCTATTCTACTTAATGTATGTGTGGGGTTTTGTGTCAGCATCACTTGTGCGGGTTCTCTTTACTATTCACTTGCGTTCCTTTGATGACGAGAGAGGTTGGGGTTGGCCTAGGGTGTGTTTGCTTGTTTGTGATTGGCTGTGGTGAACTTTGTTTTCCTGTGTGTGTGAATGGGGTGGGTAGGTGTTTTTGTATCAGGCTCTCCAGATCTATTTGTATGCGGTTGGCGGATTTTTGCCATCCCAGATATTGTTGAACCGTACCTCAGCCTGGGATTAAAAAAAAATTATTTTTTTTAAAAAAGTCTATCACCAAATATGTTGTTGTTGTTTGGCCATTTAGTCGTATCCGCATCTTCGTGACCCCATGGACCAGAGCATGCCAGTTGTGTAGCCGTCAGTGAAAAGAAAGTTAGATATTTATGTTGAATAGTAAAATCAGAATCTAGGTTTAATGAGAGCAGGGCTAAAGCTGGATTTGGTGAGAGAGGTTGTTTAACAATTTTGGAACTGATATTGAAGACCCTTGTGCAGAATGTGTGGACAAATTTACATTCCCACCATGCATGAAAAACAATATGTTCCTATATTACCACATCCCCTCAAACTTCTTAGTTTCAACACATCTGATTCTATTGTGAAGGTGATTATTATTAATTATTAATTATTATTTCTAAAAGCTACTTTGGGGAGAAATGCAAATAAACAGAAGCCCTGACTTTTTCCTTAAATGAAAAGCTGCTGTAAGGAGTAACTTTAAGGAGTTAACAACAAAGGATAGGAATACTTTCTCCCACAGACTCCCACACACACGCCATTCAAACCTACCACATTGCTGCTTGGGCATTTTAGAAGACCAAACACCACAAAAATCATGAAGATTGTGCCAGTGCCTCCATCATTTCCAAATTGGTGGAAGACTATAGTCATCCACCTCTGAACTTCCAGATGAGCTGTGTCATTCGTTCATTGCTGTCTGAACAGGCTGCTTTTGATTTAGATTAAGGGAGCACTGGAACGAAATCTGAAATAAGGGCCTTTGCCATGATCTTGACAAGAGCAGGGAAGGCTTGGACCAGAAACTAGCAATTTGTGACATGAAATGAAGGGCAGCTACAGCATCTCATCTTGCAAAGAAATTGTGACTGGAACACTGAGATCAGCAAGAGGTTAGCGCCATGGCAGCTGTGCTTGTGAAAAGTCTGTGACAGTTTGAGAATAGCACTAATCCCAGTAGTAATTGAAAATCTATTATATCCAATTTGGTTTCCCTACTCTGTAGCCTCTGGACAGAATTTGAACATTATTCTCTTCCAAGCTGGAAAAAGCTGAAGTTGGCGGACCTCTTGATAGGCCTCTGCAATGGGGAGGAAAATAAAGTAGGATGGGGTAAACTTGTTCAGCTTCCCCTACTTTTCCCTGTGGCTAGCATCTCTGAGCTACAACTGAATAAGACTGAAAATGAGAATGAAAGCATGCAGGAGCCGGAGGTAAGGTTAAAATGAGGTAGCAGCAAGAAATGAGGGTCCCAAAGTTGAGATGGACATGATGTCAAAGTTGGGCCAAAACCAAATGAGAAAGGAAATTGGAATGGACAAACATTCATCCACACAACTTTAAGACCATCTTCATGCTCACATTTACATATGAATTCTAGCAATTTGTCAGGGAATTTGCTTACAGGAAATATTTTCCTAATGCTTCACGGTGACTGTACACTTGACAAGTTTCATTTGCGGTCTCACTATTATTCTATCTTCATCTAGTTTCCGGTTGCTATCCATTGTGATATCTACCAGTCCATTATGGATGGATGCTTTTCCATCATCTTTCCTGCTTTCACTTGGCTTTGACAAATTTGACAAATTCCATTTCTGCTCTCTTACAGTCTTCCTCTTTTCGTAATGCAAAGCACCTTAATGTATCAGAAGATAGCCGGGAATGGCTATGTACCGTATTTTTCGCTCTATAAGATGCACCAGACCACAAGACGCACCTAGTTTTTGGAGGAGGAAAACAAGAAAAAAAATATTCTGAATCTCAGAAGCCAGAACAGCATGAGGAATTGCTGCTTTCACTGCGCAGCAACCCATCTTGCTGTTCTGGCTTCTGGGATAGCTGCGCAGCCTGCATTCGCTCCATAAGACGCACACACATTTCCCCTTACTATTTAGGAGGGGAAAAGTGAGTCTTATAGAGCAAAAAATACGGTACATACTAACAGCAGCAACACTTTCTCATCATTGCATCAATAACTGGCAATACTTCGTGCAATGGGCCAAAGCCATGGGTAGTCAAGCTTGAATTCAGACCTGATGTGCACAGTGCTGTTTTTCTAGAAAAAGAGGTGCTGGAACTCACCATGAATGCCTCCCTTGTTCTCTTAGAATGGCAATGGCACCACCTGAGAGGTACCAGAACTGAGTTTCAGTGAGTTCCATCTGAAAAAAGTCCTGGATGTGCATATTCTCTGACCCAGGGCCCCAGAAGTCAATTAGGAGAGTTGCAGATGGGGAGGACAGAGCATCCCCTGTAGACTGAATAATGGCTGTAGACTGTGTTGTAATATACAGTTACTGACCCACACTTGCGTACAAGAAAGTGTTAACCAGAGTGGGGATGGAGCTTAGCAGGTTTCCTTCTCTCTGTGCTTCCAGGAACAAGCAAGGAGCTATGCGGCCTTTGGCTTCCAGCTACAACAGAAACCAAGCAAACAAAAACTCTCCAAAAGAGAAATTGTACAGCCTGCATCTTTACAAACCTAAAGATTGCATGATCCTTTTGGTAAGGAAACCAAGTTATTTTCCTTTTAAAGTCATTTGGCAGTAAAATAAAGAGGGGGGAAATGCTCCAGATAGGTTCTAAAATATATATCTCAAGTGTCAATGGCCAGAGTAAAAACATGCATCTTCAGCATACACTGAAAATTACATAATGAAGTTACTAGACACATCAGAAAAATTCAACAACTCTAGGAGCTGACACAGAGGAATCTAGATAGTTCTAGATAGAATCCCAGCCAGTAATCTGGTTGTTGCCAGTTTATGGGCCAGTAGTTTCCAAGAAGTCTTCAAGGGCAACCCCACATTCTGTTCTAGAAAGAAAACAATACAGCAGAGCAAAATACTGAAGCTTGTTCAAAGCACAGCTGGCTCAGTATTACAGAAATTCAAAGCTTGGAGACTAGATCCCAGATGCACTATGGCCTTCAAAGCAGATAACAGGTTGGCTAAACTGGAAGCAAATTATTGTTGAGATGATGAGTGGCTTCTTGAGGTAGAGAGGCAAGAACAAGGTTATACCTCGAACTGAAAGAATAACTGATAGGTAAAAAGGATGGACATTAAATAAGGACCTAATTAAATTTTAAAACATGGGCAGAACACCATTAGGTAAATGGGAGTACCTTGAAAAATGGATGAGAAAGCACAGATGCAAACAAGGAATCCAAGATGGTAGGGAAGTGTTAAAAGACAGAAGCAGCAAACATGTAAGAGAGGTTTGAAGAGTTCTACTGAATAGGCACCAGCCAAGCACTGGACCATAAAGTTTCATTTTTAGGCAAAAATTGAGAATAAAGGAAGAGCAAGATAGGTTACAAAAGGAGACTTGTGATGTTAGCTTAAGTACCACTACAGAAACAGGGAGAGAGACATTCAGTGCAAACACAGATCCTTTGATGGATGTTTTGTTGGCAGGATTTAAGCAGGCACAAAGAATCTAGAAAGTCAGATTTTTCAAATATCTATATTTGAAAAAACCAAGACAAACTGGTTGATATGAGCCTGGGAACAGAGTCTAATGCTGACATCAACAAAATTCTTTCCTTAGTCTGTGAATTTAAAGTTCAAAATATGTATTATATCTCTGTAGCTGTGAAGTATAGCAAAATTCGTAAAAGCAATTGCCAACTCTGGCACAAGTATTTCATTCTCACTTTCCTGAGGGATGGAAAATCCAGGACAGACTTTTCAGCAACCTTTCAAATGCACTGGAAACTTAATGGCTTTGGGGAAAACATAGGGGGATTTTTGCAAGAACATTTATTTTGTAAAAGGTGAGATGCAATAAATGGGATGATGGTTCTTCCGAAGCTTTATTACGCCCCATAAACAACTAGAAGATCAGGCACGAGATAGCTGTCACTCCCCCCTGCTGCAGGCCAAATGTGACAGGTGGGAGTGGTCACCTACTTGCCACTCACTTGATGCCATTATAACATCAGGTGACGACTTCAAAGGAGATCACCTTCAGCTGAGTGGCACTGAGGGTCATAGCTGTCAACCATCCCTTATTTGGCGGGAAAGTCCCTTATCCCAGCGCCGTGTCCCGCTGCTGTCCCTTATTGATTATGTCCCTTAAATTTCCCAGGTTTCAAAGGAAGCAGCTCCTCTCCCTCCCTTCCTGCCGGCCAGGGAGGAGGGAGGCTCCAACTGTGTTGCTTGGCTGCGTTGCTCACCCAATAAGGAGTCTAAGAACGACTGGGGGGTGGAGCTTGCATGCCTTGTGCCGATCAAATCGGCCGCGTTGCCTGGGGACTCGCCTTTGCTCAGCGCTTCCCAGCGGAGAGGTGACAGTGGTTTTCCTTGCTGCATCTCCTTTGCCGGGTTGCTGTGCTATGGGAACCACCACTTGAGGCTTCGTTTGGCTGCTGGCTGGGCTTTCTGCCTTTGGCTCAGAGGGGCTCAGAAGTCGAACATACCTGTGCTCTGAAAATCCCTTATTTTGGCTGCTGATCCCTTATTTCCGAGGCTGCTGGTACCTTATTTTCAAATCTGTAAGTTGACAGCTATGCTGAGGGTGAGCCTCATTGGCTGCAGTAAAAGGTTGCTGATAAGCATTACATATGACTTCAGGTGGGTTTGGCTTGGGGAAAACAGCCTTGTGAGATTAATTCAGCCCATGGACCAGAAGTCCCCCACTGTTGCAGGTGATGATGGCCTTACCAGCCTTTCTCCTTACCAGGCACAGCCCAGCAGACAAAATGTGGCTTAATCTTTCCTTACCTACTAGGAATAGCCTGCTTTTAAAATGCAACTACTCACCCTAAACCATAGCAGCTATAAATTTGAGTAAATGTAAATTTTAATATGTACAAACACATATAATCAGTGGGAAGGGGCTAAAAAGAAGGAATTTATACACTAGCAACTCCAGAGGAGCTAGGAAACAGAAATATAGAAGAAAAAGGCATTAACTGGTCCAGATATTTATTCCATGGACGAGGCCACATTGTTGACCACTTTATTAATGGAGGGACATTTTGTTTATGAAGGGAACTATTTCAACATTTAGCGCCCGGCACATTTAATGCATGCCTCCCTGAGGAGTAAACTCACTTCTGGAATGCAGCTGCCTGTTTGGCACAAGTGCTAGAAAAATGAGCCCAGAGAGAATCTGTTTTTCCATCAACATTTCCACAAAGTAGGACTAGGCATGGAGGAAATAATAATAATAATAATAATAATAATAATAATAATAATAATATACGCAAGTGCCCAACCTCCTGATGTGATAATGCACAGGCACTGACTGAGGTGTCAGGAGAAGGAAGCTGTGAGGAAAACAGTTAGCAGGGACTGACTGAGCAGAGCTGAGAGGAAGGGAATCTTTAAAATGGCTGCTCAGATCTGCTTGCTTACCTACAACAGTGTAGGCAAAAAAGTTATGAAGCAAATAAAGGTACAAGAGAAAAGAACACATAGTACATACATACTTATATGCTTTTAATGTTTGATGTATCACAGTATTTTAATGTTCTTTTGGAAGCCGCCCAGAGTGGCTGGGGAGGCCCAGCCAGATGGGCGGGGTATAAATAATAAATTATTATTATTATTATTATTATTATTATTATTATTATTATTATTATTATACCACTAAACTAATATCACCAGATAACAATTTAGAATATACTGTATATTTTATGGTATGCTGCCACCATATAATATCTCTGCTCAGAAATCTTCACTGGTCTGGCAGCCAGTTTGTTTTCAGGACAAGTTCAAGGTGGTTATTATTAATTGGGACCAGTTTACTTGTGAGATCACCTTACCCCAACCACTCTGCAGAACTTATTCCACAGTTGTAAGAAATCAATATTTTACTGTTGCATCAGTTAAACTTTGTAACACCTTGCCTATTGACATTAGACAGGCACCTTAGCTCAAAACATTTTTGTTTAGGCAAGCCTAAACTGACATGTAGAATGCTGGCATCTGCTTTTGCTTACTGTTTATGTTAATTATCTTTTGAATGTTTTTTAAAATGCCCATTTTCAGCTGCTTTAGTTGATTGTTTTAATGTTTATTTTGTAAACTGCTTAGAGGTTTTATTACAATCAGGTGGCATGTAAATGTAAAATAAATAAAACTACTTTCGACAGATTCCTCCAACATGCCTACACTGAACTCTGAAGAAAGAATATTTCAGTGAAAATTGGTGGTCATATGTGATTTCAAATGAATGAATGGTGAATGAAACATTGAGTGAGATGTTGTTCTTTTGTATTGGGGGGGAGGGACAAAATAATTCAAAAACATTTCAGAATGTTTCATTAAACTCACTCAACGTAATAGTAATTATTCTTTCTTCTAAAAGCAGCAGTCAGCTCACTGTTTTACTTCTTACTTGGAGAGTGGCAGGGGGGAAAGCTTCTTACGTGTTTTGTCCTTGCAAGTTTTTCTGTTCTAACTTATTCATAGCCAATATTCATGGAATATGAAAGGGAATAATCAGCACGAAGATGAATTAAAAAGCAACCAGATGGCTCTTCTATATTGTTCTTCTAAATTGCAAATGAACTCAAACCCACAACGCTCCTTTTGTGGGATTGCTCGAATAACAAAATCAGGCAGGATGTAAATCCACTTACTCTAAAGCTGTGGCCCAGCAAGCAGTGAGATCCTACAAACCAAAAAGGTCAAAAGCTTTTCGCAGGTTTAAGTTTAATTCGAAAAATTACACCCTTCCTTGCTCAGGGTTTATGCAATTGGCCTCTGGGGATAAGTCACAGCTTCATAGGGAAATGCTTGTTGGAAATGGCTGCTTAATGGGGTGGCTGGCTGTTGTGGCCCAGTGCAGTGGTTTCCAGTTTGCCCAGGAGCAATGCTAGGGTCGGGAGGGAAGGAGTTGGGGAAACTATGCGCTGGCTGCTCCGATTGGCAGGCTTTTCTGCTGGCTTGCTTTTGAATTATGGGTCAATCAAGACCAAGGTGAGTGGGTGGGACTTCGGAGCAGACTGGAGAAGAGCAGGCCTCACTCTGGTTAACCCCTGGCAGATAAAGGTCGGCTGCGCCCAACCTCAGAAATCACAGTCAGCCGAAGTACACCTGTCCCATACCACAGTCCCAATCTGGCTCATGCAGCTCCTCTTTTGTTTTGTCAAAGAAAGAAACATTCACACTGGAGGTGGCATTTTCCAAAGAACTCTGTGTCCATCATATCCACACAGGGTGGTATCCAACTAATGTGCTCTTTCAGTGCAAGGATTTACACTTGTGCAATGGAACTCAACTCCCCCTTGCCACATGTTCCCTAAATCTGTTCTAAGAGTTCACCGAACCCTCTGGAGCAAATCTGAGGAGGACACAGGCTGTGTCCAGGGGAAAATTTCCGTTGTGCAGTGGGAATAGCTTTAGACACGTTTCTGAGCATGGCTACATTTCTCCCACCTCTTTGTCTCCCATTGTTTTGAATGTGAGGGGAAATGTAAACAAACAAACCAGGAAACATACAAACACACAATCATCTTTCCACCCGTCCTTCTCCCAGGCTACCTCAAGTCCATCAGGATGTGGGATAAGACAGTAGAATCACCTCTGTACAGGATCACAGCCTGACATCAAAGCTTACCTCCAAGACAGGCACCCATGGCCAGTGAAAAGATTAGGGGCTTCACAGGTAGGTTCACATCAGGATCCTGACTGAGGTTGAGAAGTACAGGAATCTGCAGGCAATAAGTGGGAAATATTGATTAAAATATTACATACTAATATTTTACAAATGACTTACTACTCCACTCTATATAGTTATATTTTACTTGTTTTGTCCTTATTGGTATTGTATTTTAAATTGTTATGATTTGCCCTGAGATCACATGATGATGGCAAGGGATTTAAATTACATTAAATAAACAATATTATTATACATCGATCGCACCTTATGGCCAGTTACAGCACAATCGAGTAGAGACAGGTTGTACCACAATGAGCTTGGTGTCTAACTTTTTGTTCCTTTTTTTAAAAAAAATTATGTGATGGTGTTTCTGCTTGCATTGGGTCAAACATTCAGGGAAAAATCATGGTAGGCTTCTTTTATGGAAATTCTGGGAGGATCCCAAATGCGAATGAATGTTCTCCCTGGTCCAAATGCTAACAAAGCACCATAACTTCGAGAAAGGCTATGTTTGAATCCTTGATCCTGACAGGAAAGTGGGGAACATTTTATCCTATGGTTAGTATTTTTTCATGGACCGAGCATTTAAACGGTGGAGCAAACCGATTGGGCGCCTGGGGCGGCGTGCTTGCCCTGCGCCCAGGGGCGGGGCCAGCCGGGGCAGGACGCTCTGCAGGGCCTCTGAGGGGTCTGCCTGCCTCCTCCCACTCAGCTGCCCTACAGCTGGGGGGAGGCAGTGGGTGGACCGTTTGGGGCAGTGCGGAGCCTGCGGGCGCCCAAGCCACCGCGTCACTGCCAGGAGAGACTTGTGGCTCGGGTGCACTGTGGGCCCCACATTGAGTGCCGCCAGCCATTTTGTCACCCCCCTCACTGGTGGCACGCGGGGTGGCCCGCCCCCACCGCACTCCCCTTCCTCCGCCCCTGAGACCAATAGTCCCTCAGCAAATACTAGCACAAAAGAGACTGCACTAAAAAGAAGGGCTCCTCGTGTAGACTCAGGTTTAACATTTGAGTAGAAAGCAAGCAGGACATCCTATCATGGCTAAGGTATACAAGGAAGACAGTCCAAATTAGGGTCTGCACTGGAGGTTAAAGCTGTTGGAAGTGCAACAGTGGGGATCATGGATGCTTCCTGTCACAGGAAATGCCCTAGGAATGCTATACGCCTCCTGCCCATTGATGACAGGGTATATACAATGACTGGGCCTACACAATGGGGAGGAGGAAGAAAACTAATTTACTATGGACATTCTGTTTTCAAATGTGTGGTTTTTTTCCTCTCTCTCTCTCTCTCCATGTGTCTTATTGTTTATAGCTTGCTCTTGGAAGACTTTCCGTATCAGTTGATCAATCTCTGTTTATCTGAAAAATTGATTTTCTCTGAGGCACTAGGCTTAGGGTCCTTAAGGCTGGCTGCTCTAACTACGTATCCAACACTGCAATTATGTGTCTGACTTCTCAATGCGATGCTAGTTGCTGTTAGCCTTTAATCCCTCTCCTTCTGCAAGCAACGGAAACAGCACTGTTCAAATTCTGCATTATGAAGTTATAGCTGCCCTATAACGCTGTTTCCTACATTTAAAAGCAATACAAAAGCCACAGCGATACTGCCTCCATGCCACAATGTCGTCTGTGTCACTAAGTGAAATAGAGCTGTAATCGGCATCAGGAAGGTAGCCTTGTCCTGAACGTGATTTAGTACTAAACTGGAAATGCACAAAGGGGTACCGCACATGCAAACACAGGAATAGGAAAAGAGGTTGCATAGTCCAAAGAAGTGTTGGTCTTCTGATCCAAGGGATGATTGTATGACTCCTTGTACTCTGCCGCACATGGCAAAGATGTCAAGCATGCTATATCACTTGCCCATCAATCTATCCTCATACACCAGCAGTAGGAATGGGATCCAGTTGCCAGGCCAGATTCTTATCTCCGCCATCCCTGTGGGTCAACTTTGTCAGGTGGGCAGGCCCACCCACACTTGTAAACCACCAGTTGCCTGCTTTGATAGGTGGGTGAATCCTAGCAGTCAAGCACCATTCCTGCAGCCCTAAAGTTCTGAGCCGAACAAAACTTTTTAACTGTAATTGCTTTTGGGTTGTCAGCTAAGATTTTAGTGCTTGCACCTATTTGGCATAAGGCAAGGCATACATTTTTAAATCAACGGCCACCAACATTAATGAGAACAACAAACACCCCATTGTATCAATTGCCCTTTTACCAAAACCCAGTTTTTGCAGAAAACACATTGGGCATGTCTAAATTGGTACAATGGTTCAATACATTGTATTAGGAGGAAAGACCTAAACAGTGATCTAACATAAATGAATTTATAGACCCTAGTTATAAAATGTAAACAGGTGTTTCAATAAATGCAGCCTAGTTTAATAATGGTTTATTAAAATGCAGACAATGTTGAAAATAAAGTGTTGTCATGTAATCTTCTGAGGGCGGAACTTCCCAACTATTGTTAATCAAGCTAAGAAAATAATATTTCATTTATATTTTAAATGAATGATTTAGATGTTGGAACCTGGTTTAGAGCCTTTCCAGTAAAAAAAAAAAATACAGTAGAAAATATCAGAAAACATTCATTAAATTGAAAGCACATATTGTGGGATTTATCATGTTTATCCTAGTTTAAAATGCCAACTGTAAACCTGTAAACAGAAAAGGCAGCTTTATCAAGAAGAGCTGAATGTGGCTATGTTCATATTAGAACATAATCTGATTAATCATATAAGAACCATATTAGTTCTGATTTGGTGCTGAAGGAATCACTAGATAGATCTTTCCACTGCAAAAGCTCTTAATTCACTACTGGTACTGGATACTAAAATCAACTGGGTTACCAATAAAAGATCCAACAACTGCTTCAACTATATCCATGGGAATGTTTAAAAGAGGCAGTGAGCATAATCCAAAAATATTTGGCTTATGATTTCCACTGTAGCCATGACCCTCAAATGCAGCAGCACCCTTCATTCCCTACACACTGGAAGGCATCATATGTTAGCCGGATTTGGAATAACAACCCCATTCCTTTAAGTGGCAATATAGGAATAATCTCATGTTTCTTTCGTTTGACTTTTGTATCCCACCTGGCATGTTACCATCTCCAACACTAGATTCTCCCTTTGTGGCATAAAGTAAAGTAAAGTAAAGGGACCCCTGACCATTAGGTCCAGTCGTGACCGACTCTGGGGTTGCGGTGCTCATCTCGCTTTATTGGCTGAGGGAGCCGGCGTACAGTTTCCGGGTCATGTGGCCAGCATGACTAAGCCGCTTCTGGCAAACCAGAGCAGCGCACGGAAACGCCGTTTACCTTCCCGCCGGAGCGGTACCTATTTATCTACTTGCACTTTGACGTGCTTTTGAGCTGCTAGGTTGGCAGGAGCAGGGACCGAGCAACGGGAGCTCACCCCATCGCAGGGATTCAAACCGCCGACCTTCTGATCGGCAAGTCCTAGGCTCTGTGGTTTAACCCACAGCGCCACCCGCGTCCTTTGTGGGAGAGGCATGTCTTAAATAAATCTTGAATACTTGTAGCCATTGATTTCCTCGTTTTGACTTTATACTGCTTTTCCTTTGTATTTACAACAATCTTTATGCTTTGCTTATCTGTCATTCCCTGACTGATGCAGTGTTTCAGGTAGTTAATTTTAGACTCTGAACTTCATGGTCCTGGGGACTTCATGGTCTTATGGGACCCTCTGTGTTAGAAGGCTGTGTGTATTACTTCATATACTTCAAAACATGGCAGGCCACCCTGGTTGCACCCGGGGGTGCTACTGCTCGTCCTGCAAAATGAGGTCCCAGACTTCTGCCCCCAAATCCTTCCATAACTGCACCACTTCTTTGATGTGCTCTGAAAAACTGGTGATGATCGGAGTGATGGTTCTCCTAATTCTAATTCACCATGTTGTTGTTGTTTTAACCAAACTAGCATTGCAATGGACATTGACCCTGAAAGAGTTTTTGCTCCATTTCCACCATGTTTTTAATCAATCTTTCAAAAAAACACTTGAGCTGTATCCAGCCACATTGCTCAGCTGACAATAAGGTTTCCACCAACAGAATGGGGAAGGAAGCAATTTCCAGCAATTCTTGTTGCCGTCCACTTTGTCTGAAATCTGTTCCAAAACAGATTTAGGGTATGGGGAGGTTGCAAAGGGAAGGAAGATTCATTGAAAATTGCTCCCTTCCCTGTTCTTCTGAAGGGAACCTGACTTGCTGAGGGACACCATTGCATGCAACACCTTATTTCTTCATTTTCTCCATTACATTTCAGATTTGGAATATCTGTTTCTTGTTATTGTTGAATGACTGTGTCGCACTGACACTGGAATTTCTGACCTTTAGTCCAAGGTTAAAAGAGTATAATTAAAGTACTGGAAGTCTGCAGGTGAAATTGCATGGTGTGGGATGCAGTTTTTCAAGGTAGTCAAGAAAAGAAAGACACTAAGCTTGCATCTCAAACACTTTCCTTTTTAGTATACCATAACTTTTAAATCTGGCGTCCCAAAGCATTATCAAAAGGGACCCCTTGGCAACAAACAGGCTTTTGTAAACTGATATTTGTGAGGACTGAAAGGAAACCTTCACTGGCCCAGCTATACACTTCTGTTTTTGTACTTCTCTCCCCTCCAGCCCCTTAACAGAAGAAAATGCAACTTACCATTGTAGCAGTGAATGGAATATTATCAATGAGGGATGATGCCAGAGCAGAGACCCAGAGCACTAAAATGATTGCAACTGTCAAGCGTTGGTCTTCAGGGACCACCTGAGAAAGAAAGAAAGAAAGAAAGAAAGAAAGAAAGAAAGAAAGAAAGAAAGAAAGAAAGAAAGAAATTTAGAGTCCCCTTTGCCCTGAAAGCTATTATTTTGTGGCCAAAATTGCCACACTGGTTTCTCTTTTTTAACTAAAGCCATAATTGTGCAGATTTCCCACATAAATCAACCCCAATGCTTTAAAACAGATGTGACCTCCAAGTACATAAAAAAGTGAAAACAGTATAATAATTGTCTGACTAAACTACCTCCTCTGGAAAGAGGGGAAGCTTCCAGCTTGTAAATGGAGATTTCTTCTTCTTCTCTTGCCAGGGGTAGTGACTTAGATTTAAAGGGCTCAAGGAAGGACTTTGAATTCAAGTGACAACTTCCAGTCCCTTCAGCTGCACTAGGAAGTTCCTGGTGGACCCAGACAATTCCTGTTGATTATCAAGGCTGGTCTCTGAAGCCCCAACAGGAAAGTGATGATGGATGTGTAGGGCTCTCTTCAAGCACCAACAATCAGCTCATCATCAGTGCTTGCACAGAGCCCTGCACTGCACTTTGAAGACCCAACAATAGTTGGGTAGTTAGGCCTTCAAAGCGCCTTAACAAGGGGAGTCGCAGGTGCTACCGCAACTTTAACAGCCCCACACCTGAAGGCAGTTGGGTAAGGTGTGGCCTTAATGGCCTCGTGGGCCATACAGGGAGACACAGCAGGCCTAATGAAGCCTGTAGGTCCTAAGTTCCCCACCTCTGATCAAGGTCTTAACAGCTCTCCCTAAGTGAATCTAAAGTCAATGTGAGCTCCTGTTTCAGGGAAGGGGGAGCAGCCCCAAGTCTTCCACCTTGCTGTTGTGCAGACATTTCCTTCTGGGTTCCATCTACAGCACCAACAAGATGGAGAAGAAAAGGTCTGGTTAAGGTTGATGCTTCTCCTTGCTCTCTCACCCTCTCTTGAAGAGGGCAGGTTATCTGACAGCAAAGCAAGGAGCAGAAGGGGCGTGTTTGGGTTTTCAAAGGACAGGTGCCCTCTGAGTTGTGGCACAGGATGCATTGGATTCCTAACAGTGCAGACTCCTGACATTGGCTCTCTGCCTTTTGTGTGGTCATGCGCAGCCCCCCGGATCCCAGTGTGACTCCTGGTAGTTTGGGCTGGCTTCATCCTCCCCAGGCTGGATACCTGGAGGTCTCTGCCTACCTCAGCCAATCACCCAATGCCACCTGGGGAGGCGTTGCCAGAGGATTGGCCAGGTAAGGGGAGGGACTGTCCTGCCCACACAACAGAAGGTGAATCTTACCTGCAAAGCGGCAGTCAGCTCCAGAGCTTCTCCCACCCTGCCCTCCCTCAGTTAAGTCTTCTTTTGCGGGTTAACCTCTTCTCCACAGGTACGCAAGCGCTGCTACGTCAGGGTCGCTGTTGAAGGGCCGGAAAGGAATTCCCCTGCATTGGCAGGTTTTGCCTTCCCCGTAGCAAAACGGCACAACTTTGGTGGTTTCAGGCCTTGGGTGAAATCCTTTAATCTATCTTCCTAAATGGGGGGGCGTGAAGCGGTGTCCCAAACCCCCCCTTGCGACGGTGATCCCAGGGTTCCCCGTTAAAGGCGTCTTGAGGGGAGGCATTGGCCATACGCCGAGAGGTTGTCATTGCTCTCCCGTTGCGGCAAAATGGGGAACGGGCTCTCTGCTTGAACATATGTTCTCCAGAGCCAGCCCAATCCCCACACATTCTGGATAACCCTGAAGTCTCCCAGATCCGCAGCTGGGGACTGGGAAGGATAAACGCCCAATGCCTGAGCCAAGGTCTCCCTACATTTGAAACTTAATAAAGTTGTGGCCAATTTTAATCCCATAGCATGTTGTCTTGAGTCATTGTTCCGCTCGGGCGTTGCCTGTGGTTGGGAGGAATCTGCCTGTCCATGCAATGTAACACATAAAAGAACCCAAGGCATCCTCTTTGCATCCCCGACATCAGAATGTACACTGTAGTTTAATAATATAATACTTTGTATATATGCAACAAAGAGGTTTCTCCATTTCTGCACTGTAAGATGTTATTGTAAATGGTACCTTTATTAATAAAGCTGTCTGTTCTCCAATGTATTCTATTAAATGAAGGTGAGCCAAAGCCTAGATGTGGGGAGGAAAAATCAACATTTATAAAATAAACACTTTAAATGTTTATGTAAAATAGCCCGTAGTACAGAGTTGTATTGCCGTTTTGGTGGCCCTTCAAAACAGATATTCTACCAATAAGCAAGGCAATATTTGATCCACTAACTTTTATTACAGTTCTTACCAAGAGAAGTTGGTTCAATTAAACTTTCATCGAACAAACTTCTCATGGTAAGAATTATACTAAAAGTTGGTTACTTAATTATTAAGTTCACTATCAATTATTAATGTAATTATTAAAGCTATAACTTTGCCTATTTTGTCCCTCACAAAATAACTGTGATGGTCCACATTTACTTTGTCCCTTAACTGAGCCAGAAAGCAACCAATAAGCTTTTCAGTTTAGCCAAAATAGGGTCCTATTCTGGCCAGCTTAAGAAGAATCCATGAGGCACTATACCAGACCTTATAGGCACTGACCTTCAGTTGCACTCAACCAGTAGCAGTTGGCAGGTGCTGGCAATAGGCAAATGTTATGGGTAATGGACTCAGGTTCTGCAGGACCAGGGAGAGCTCCTCAGAGAGACTGAAAGTTCTGGGGTTCTCCTCCCAGCTTCAGAGTCAGTTATCTCGTCAACAACTTCAGAGAAGTTTTCAGAGTTCTGGCTCAGTTTCCAGATCCAGTAAACAGAAAGGCCATAGAGCCTTCAGGACAAATAGCCCTGGCTTGGGGTCATCAGCATATGAAGTTTCACTAACAAAAGGATGGGCTTGGTCATATTAAGTCAAGTTAAACGTGCACTTAAGAGTCCCTGAATAATGGGGGGCTCCTGCCTTTCTTTTGTTTTCATCTCTTTGGGCAGGTGCACCTCAGTGTGGGCAAAATTCACAGCAAGAACTTGGAAGCTGCAGCTATGATTATGTGATGAAGTTGTTGATTTGGCACAACCCAGGAATTTAGAAACTCTAGAACAGCAAAAAACAAATTGTTACCTACATTGCTATATATCAGCCTAAAATGTAGCATAACTAGCAGCGTTGAAAAGATTAGTACTCCTAGCAGAAAATACACTGATTTGTACTTGTTGCTCTGGAAACCACATTTAATCAAAAGGCAATAATGCAGACATTCTATTCCCATTTGAAGCAATACTTCAAAGTTTAAAAATCACATCTTTTCTTCTAGGAAGGACTGTTTGAAATCTAATCACTGGGGAGTCGCGTAAAGTTCCACCTTTGAAAATAACCCAGACAGTCCCACCTGACCAAATCCATTCATATACCAGGAAGAACCATGAGCAAATTTGTATTCCTACCCAAGGACTCTGGGAGATTATGTTCTTTCTTATTTTTTTATTTATTAGTTGGCTTTTAGGGGGCTTTCCCCCATTTCTTGTTAATATAGTTTGGTGGGAGGGTCCCCGCTCCTTGCTAAAACTAATAAGAGCATGGATTTCCAGGATAGAGATCGTTATAATGTCTTCATGTGGTCTGTAGTTTTTAGGAGATACTCCTAAAGATGACCTGCATTCTAAAGTAAATTTCTGGGACCTCTACATAGCCCTTTCTGTTCCAGTTTTTTCGTTATGCACAAGTGGTTTCAGACATCATAGTTGTTTTAAGTAATCCCAGTTGTGTAGCTCAGCAGTTGTGCAAAAGCCTTAGGTTCAAAGCTTTCACATCTGTAAAGGTAGCTAGTGGTCTGTAGCAAAAAAGTATATAACCAGTTACTTTCTTGGAATTAGTATTTGAAATGCAGACCCTCACAAATCTCAAATATCATTCTCTTCTAAACAAAAGAACTTTCCACATCCCTCAAGACAGCTCCATCAACTTGAAACATTCTATTACTGACTCTTCTTTCATCCTCAGTCAGAATGCTCTTTACCATTATTTGATATCTCAGGCACCCAAACAATGGTGTTTTGAATGTTTGTTTGTTTTTTAAGGGGGTTGCCCATTTTGAATACACTGCTGTGAATCTGCTGCAATAACATGCACCCAGTGTTTCCAGGCAGCCCTGTATCGGGAAGTTTTTAACACTTGATGTTTTTCTTATGTTTTTAGATATGCGGTACGCCGCCCAGAGTAGCTAAAGAAACCCAGCCAGATGGGTGGATCATCATCATCAGGTATTCAATGGGAATTAACATGGATGCTCTTTCCAGCTGTTGCCTATGTTGGAAATAACAGCGGAATCATGCTTTAGATTTTATATGGCAGACTGGGTTCACAGATGTTTCTATGACACATGTCCACCAAGTCTATGGTGATATGCATCTCCTGTTTATAAAATCAAGGCTACATGTTTACTGCAGCAAATACAGGTGGAACAGTAGCACACCCAAGCCACCACCCACAGCAAATGTGAATCAGAAAGTGCATCCTCCTCAAGTTTCCAAGACACGGTACACATTCAACTGTCTGCTTGTTTCAAGCATTAACTGCTCTAGCGGGTAAACCAAAAGCACATAAAATAAAGAGCAAACATCATGTTTGCAGTGACATAAAGAAGGAGTATATAGTACACATGCCTTGACAGAGCCACCAAAATAACCTCAATTCCCAGTAGCTCAAACCTGTTGAACTTTCTTTCTCTGTTTCACGGTTAAGTGAAGGGCTGAATACTCAGTGAGGAATGGCATTGAAAACACCACCACAAGCCACAACTGAGTGCCATAAGCAGTCAGACCTACAGAGAATGTCTGCCCCGCCCCCCAAAAAAAACCCAGCTAAAAGCTATTAGTGTGGCTTAGCTGGTAATATAGACTCTCAAGGTTCCATCTTCAAAATTCCTAGATAAAAATTAGGGTTGAAGGTCATATCCACATTCAAGGATGATTCAAGAACAATGGATGAAAGCACTCTGAATTGGCTTTCTCATGCTGTCACCCCCCTGCAAGAATAAGATGCAGTAGCATCTCTCTAGTCTTTTATCTTTGGATGGGGTGGGGTGCAGCTGAATTTGTTTTTATATCTCTCTCTCTTACTTGTCAATTTTAGGTTGTTTTATACTTGTCTTTATACTAATTTTTCAGGTTCTTTTTTGTAAGTCACTTTGAGTTTCATTTCATGGATTGGGTCCTGAGTAAGATTTCTGGGGGAAGCACACAGCCCTAATACACTCAGCTGGAGTTGTATAGACACACATACTGATTCCGTCTTTTTGAACCAGCTTGTTTCTCAAGGATAGATCAGGACACTGCAAGGAAAATACTGAATTTGCAGCCCTGTGCTGCTCTCCTAATGCCAGTCTAGGTACTCAATGACTCTTAAAGGTGAGAATCAGCAGAGTGGTTAACTGCTCCCCCTGAAAAATGCTTCCCCCTTGCCGTTTTTAATTAATTTTTTCCCCATTAGAGACATAGGAATGGAACAATGGCAAGCACAGGAAAAGTTTCTATTTCTACTAAACATCTATAGCCAATGTCCTGCGTTGTCTCTGGGCTCTGTTTCTCAAGCTGGCTATATGATTGTGCAAATAATATTTACTGAAACTGGTAAATCTACTGTGAAGAAATTGCTCTTTCAAGCCTGAACAGACATTATGATCGTCCTGCAGTCTTTCTAACTTAGGTTGATGACACTAAAGGGTATAGACTCCTTTTAAGGGTCACCATCCTTTTATCAGGAGACAGTGATATGCTGCAAACTCCTTTATGCCGCAACTGGATGTGTGGTCTTCAGAATGACATATGCAGCTGCGGCCAATTCAGACTTCTCTAGTCACTTCAGTGGAGATGACAGTTCCACGTGCACAACAAATATGGAGTTAGCCCTTCTGTTTCAACAAGGAATCTTGCATATGTTTTGTGTGTACATCAGAGCTACTATACTTGCTAAGGTCACACATACACACACACGGTATGCACTGAGCACAGTTCTATTCAGGCCCCGTTTCCGCATTTGGGGAAACAAGATGATCCCTTGGTCCATGTATCCATACAGTAGAAACATGAGTGAACATGACACATAGGCCCTGGATAACAAACAGCTGAGGTCACTTGGAAAAGATATAGCCTCTGTCTCAGTTCTGTCCTAACTATCCTCCTCTACTTTCTCCATGAAAACAGTGCACAAACGTGTTGCAGTAAAGCACATGCTGGCACTCAGTGACAAAAATTCTGGTGTTTGTACAATGTATCCTTCCATACATCTTCCTCCCTTCCTGAAAGGTATTCACAACATGATTTCTCTCTTTCTATCGGGTTCTTAAAACCCAGATTCTATGGCACCAAAAAAGAGAGCAAAGATAAATATGCAGGTGAAGGCTTCCTTATTTCTCAGTGGCTTCCACTGAATTCAAAGTCCATGGGATACAATCTGGCACACAGGTGGCAGAGGGAGAAAACCTATCCCAGACGATTTACCAGAAGCAAAGAAAGCCTTAGCCCTACCTTTGTGGATCCCTGACCAGGGGCGGAGGAAGGGGGTGCGGTGGGGAAGCCGCCCGGTGTCACCACTGGGGGGGTGACAATATGGTGGGTGGCACTCATCACGGGGCCCGCAGCGTGCCTGAGCCATGTGTCTCTCCTGGGAGTGACGCAGTGGCTTGGGCACCCGCAGGCTCCGCGCTGCCCGAAACTGTCTGCCCACAGCCTCCCCCTCAGCTGTAGGGCGGCTGAGTGGGAGGAGGCAGGCAGACTCCTTGGAGGCCCCATGGAACGTCCCACCCTGCCCCGTGGGCAGCTGGCCCCACCCCTGGGTGCAGGGCACATACGCCACCCCAGGCTCCCAATCAGCTTGCTCTGCCACTGTCCCTGACCGAACCCGTTTACTCTCTATTGTACAGTATAAATAAATGGCTGGTGAAGAATGAGGCACCAGCGCATTGTAATCTGCGATATACAAACCCTCTGCCCACACATGTTCCACTTGTGATAACAATGGGCATTTAAGTAGCATATACAATGGAATCTAGAAACTCATGTTAACAAAAGAGACCTGTAGCATTCATGACTCTGTTATTTCAAAGCAATGGATTTATCAGAAGCAGCAAAAGCAAAGCCTTGGCCTTTCTTTACCATGTCACTGACTTCATCCGATTACTTTCTGCAATGCAAAGAAATGGTTGCCATTCCCTTCTAAGGAAAAGTAAGGGTAACATAGCGAGGGTGGTCAAAGCTTTCTTTTTCACTCCTGGGCTAAAAGGTAACAGTAAAGGCTACTGACTGGGACCCAATGGATGGGTACACAAGACTTCCTTCCATACATATTCCGCTTGTCATAATAATAGGCAATGAAGTTGCATATACAGTGAAATCTAGAATCTCATATTAACAAGAGTGCTGTAGCACACACACCTCTTCAATTTCAAAGGAATGGCCTATTGTAATCTCCTCTCCTGTGTGAGCGTGCAAAGATCTCCTAACACACTATTATTCTACCATCGACTTCAAGGCATCAAAACTTACAGGGATTGGGGGGGGCGTAACTCTTCTTCTTACCTCCATTAAAACAAACAGTGCTGCAAAGAAAAGGAGCGTTGCCCATTCCACTCTACTCAGAATCATCTCAAAATCCTGAATGTTGGCTAACACGAGAAGCCATATTGCTCCCAGCATAGCAATCCACCCTGCATAAAAGGAGGGAAAAAACAGCATGAATATCGACTTTCAACCATTTACCTGAATTTCTTCAAGACAGGCAGTTCTTAATTTTCTTTGGTGTATTAAAGCATGTTTATGTTGTGCAGTAACACATACTCAGAAGCAGTTTGCTACAATTTTTGAGGTTAATTGTCAGGGCTCTTTCACAATAATTCAACAAACGGAACTTCTCCCGTCTCTGCATCTCCATACTAATCAGGTTGAATATCTGCCTATTGGAGGCAAAGGAGCCAGGAAACTGGCCGCAATCTTGCCCTAGTCTTGTATTTAACCCAATATCCAATGTCTCTGGCTGTGAACCAAAAGCGAACACCTATGAAGGGTGCACTTGAATAAAGAGGTTCATATTTGACCATAACTATGATTCTCCAGCTGGCAGAGCCAACAGATTGACTTGGTGTATTCTGCATCTACAAAGAAGGCACAGGGATGTATTCAACAGTGTCAGTCAACAGTAAGACTTCCATCAACAGAACAGGGGAGCAGAAGCTGTTGTCAGTAATTCCTCCTCCCACCTCCAGCCTCCTATGCTCCCCTAAATCTGTTCTGGAGACCCTCCAGGGCAGATATATAGGGGTGGCGCTACAGGTGGGAGGGGAAATGGATGAAAATGGCTTCCCTCCCCAATTCACGGGCAGAAGCCTTACCATCCGCTAAGCAACACCATTCGATCCAATCCCTTATCTTTCAGAAATCTTTCACAAATATAGTTTCCAGCTGCTCTGAAGCCCCTGGAGGAAGCTCTACAATAAGACAGCTGTCTTTAATATACAGCACTAACTTCATTTGATAATTGCAAGTTTACACCCAGCTGGATATAAAAGCGAAAGGCAATATATATACATCGCTCAATTTGTGTTGCCCATTTAAAACTGTGCTGTCTTCAGTTTCTTGGGGAAACACAACATTTCCTTATCATAAATATCCCATCCTGAGGAGAGTAAGGCAGCATTCACAGTCCTTTGGGATTGCTCCCACACAGACCAGTTACCAAGCAGATTCCACCACATGCTGGAAAATATTGTGGTAGTGCATGCCACTCTGTGGCTGTTGCCAGTATTCATTTTTATGGAACTGGTATATAAGTTTCTGTGACAGTTTCCAATGAGTGTCAAGAAAAGAAGAATTCTAACAACCTTTATTATGTTGTGCTTTATGTGGAATTCTGAAATACCTCCAACACAGGGAGTTTACATATACTGTGCAGTCTCAGAGGAAATAAATAGGTAACAGAAATAGCAAGTGTGCTTTTGAGACTTTTGTATTTTTAATATGTTGTGTATCTTACCCAGAAAAAAAGTAAGGTTTCTGAAGATATCAATGTCAATGCTGAATTTATGAAGGAAAATGTCTAAACAAGGACTGTGCAAGCAAGAAACAACAAAATTCATATAAAGGGTAAACAAAAGATTGTGGGAACAGCTGCAGTCTTTCAAGATGACTAATAATAAAAGGCTGCCTCCTTTAATATGGTGGCTCTTGGTTGGCTCATATGAAAAGCTCGGGGGGGCGGTCTGAAATAGTTAGAAAGCTTTACAACTTGAAATGAATTATTTTTTGTGGAAACTATCAAATATGCACTCATGGTGCCACCTGTTAAAATCCTAAATGACATTTGTAGCAAAGTGAAGCTTGTGAAATGTACTTCATATACCACTAAGCACACATAGCTTGGAAAATAATGAGTTTATTAGGAGGGATAATCTGAATGCAAAAAATAGTGCAACTGATCACTTGGGGCAACGATATTTTAGAAGTGCCAGTGAATTGGTATTCAAATTAAGAGATGCACTCCAGAATCCTCTGCAATGTCACAGAGAAGGCATCCCCAAACTTGGCCCTCCAGCTGTTTTGGGACTATGACTCCCATCATCCCTAGCTAACAGGACCAGTGGTCAGGGATGATGGGAATTGTAGTCCCAAAACAGCTAGAGGGCTGAGTTTGGGGATGCCTGTCACAGAGGATAGTAGAGCAAATTATTCATTCAAACACACCAGAAGTTTTGTCCAAGCATCCCCTGTGACATTTCTAGGTAAGGAGAACAGTTGAAACCTGAATGTCATGGTGCTATCAGAATTGGTCCTGATTGTCAGTAGGGCACCAACTGACAAGATGGATATTTTTTCCATTTAGTGCAACCTAGCAATGTGGACAAGCTTATTGGAACTGCCTCCTCTCCAGAATACTCTCTTAAAACATTTTTGTTTCGGACAAGCCTATCCAGAAACATAGGTGTCGACGGTTTTTATTTTTTTTATAGTTCCTTTTAATTATCTTTTAAATGTTTCAATTGGTTATTTTTTTACTGTTTTGTTGATGGTCTTAATATTTATTGTAAACTGCATAGAGGTTTTATTACAATCGAGTGGTATATAAATTTTGTTAAAATAAATACATCTTTCCTGGGTATTAAAAAGAAAGAAAGAAAATTGGGCACATAGGTCCACCTGCATTGTGATGTTCTTGATTTCAGCATTCTATACATGTCAATAGTGGATAGTTGACTTACTTAATATTAATTTTATTTAGAATTTTCATTTTATTTAAAAGTACTGTATTCATAAACTGCTTTGTAAAACAAAAAAAACCCTAAGCGATGTACATAAGATTGTGTACAGCAATCCTGTTCTGTTGATCAAAAGAGGGTACAAAAGACACCTGGGGAGGAGGTAGGGAATCCATTATCACCGCCTGCCCCCCCCCACCGCATCTCCTCCAATCAAAATATGAAGTGTGTCCTCAGTTTACAGTGGTACCTCTGGTTACGTAATTAATTCGTTCCGGAGGTCCGTTCTTAACCTGAAACTGTTCTTAACCTGAAGCATCACTTGAGCTAATGGGGACTCCCGCTGCTGCCATGCCGCCAAAGCACGATTTCTGTTCTCATCCTGAAGCAAAGTTCTTAACCCGAGGTACTATTTCTGGGTTAGCGGAGTCTGTAACTTGAAGCGTCTGTAACCTGAAGCATATGTAACCCGAGGTACCACTGTATTTATACTCTGCTCTTCCTCTGAGGAGCTCAGAACAGTTTTACATGCAGTTCCCAGTCCCACCCCACTTCCATGGTCCAGATTCACTCTGCTTCATCAGTAGAAACGCTGTGCGTGGCTTCAGACCCTTCCTCTGAGTTGCACATGCCATTAACCCAAGGGCAGGTTTCCTTCAACATTGTACAGGGCTCAATGGGAAAACATTCAGTGGACAGGTTCAGTGCATTGAAATCACTTTCGCTCCTAGGTCAGACTGAATAGTGACTTGATTTTGGATGTTTATTTGGCGTGCTTCTTTTTCCCCCCTTCAGTCTTCTCATACAGTGTGTGACCTGGGTGCTCTCTGTCAGGGTTGAGCCAGGAGTTTCACCGGGATATCAGAACGGAGCAATGAAGACAAAAATTGGGACTGGGGCACAATACACACACCACCAGTGCCGGATTTACATATAAGCTAAACAAGCTATAGCTTAGGGCCCCACTCTCTTAGGAGCCCCGATAAAAATTAAAGGAAGGGAAAAACTGGATTTACATTTCCAGAATACAGTGGTACCTCTGGTTGTGAACGGGATCAGTTCTGGAGCCCCGTTCGCAACATGAGCAGAACGCAACCCATGTCTGCGCATGCGCAGGTTGCGATTTGCCGCGTCTGTGCATGCACGAGTGGCGAAACCCGGAAGTAACCCTTTCCGGTACTTCCAGGTAGCCACGGGATGCAACCTAAAAACGCTCAACCTGAAGCAAACGCAACACGAGGTATGACTGTATAAGATAAAAAACAAATAAAATAAAACCTACATACAGCAACAGTGTTTTGTAGGCTTCTATGATGTAAGTAATGGGCCCCACCTGCTAGCCTGCTCCCTAAAATATCACTGGTTTGCTCATTTCCATATATAGGGTGCCTACGTTCTGCTAGTTGCATGGCAACATGTGCAAATGGCTTTTGATACCTATTAGGTCCATAAATTACCATATAGCATATATTCAACACAAAAAGCAGTGACAATTTGTTGTTGACAAAGGACAGCTGGACATATAAAGGGCCCCATTACCTTCAGTAGCTTTGGGCCTCATGAAACCTAAATCTGGCCCTGCACATACACTACACCACCTGCTCTTACAACGGGGCACAAACTCACTGCCTGCTTTATATGTGACTAGGGTAGACTCCCACTCAGAGAAGACGCAGAGCCATCTTTGGTGAGATGGGACCCAGGATCTTCAGTGCACTCTCTCTTTGATGGCTCAGCTTCTCAGACGGATGCATGGAAGTAAAGTACCCATCCTAGTGATTACTGACAACCACTAGAGCTGGTTTATGACTGTCTCTTTCTGTCCAGAATATTCATCCATGATACTCAATAACAAACATGGGTGCATTGCTTATAAAATATTTGGGCCTTCATGCATTTCTTGAAACTCCCCTTTTTAATGATGCCAGAAACTTTCTGTTTAAACCAAGCACGCCTGCATCTTCAGAAACCACTGCAGTTTTAAACACAAATGTTCTGTCCAAGGTGATTTTTTTAAAAAAAGATGCTTAGGTAATGGATCGATAATAAAAAGGAGGATTGTGCCAGCCTGTATTCCACCGCCCCCTCCAAAATGTTTGGCAAGTGGTTTGAAATAAATTATTTAAAGTTGGGGAAGCTACTATAGGGGAAATCTTCATCAAATATTCTGTAAAAGCTTGTAGCAATTCTGCCTGTTTGACATGGGTTAAAGAAGGTTAGAGCTTTTTTGCCAAAGAGAAAAAAATCCCCCAGGTTCATTCAGTATTCATATCCTATTTCCATATACAGCATTATGTAAAAAGTGATATAGTCTCTTTAATCTTTTACAGAGTATAAGGCTTTCTTCCATGCTATCCAGGGGTATAATAATAGTCATCATCTCCAACAGAAGCAAATGTATAGGCTTTGTCTGTGAAATAACTTTTCACAAGGCACTAAACTCTCGATGGTACGTGAAT